GCACTATTCAGTGCAACCCATGGAACTCGTTCAGTGTTGGTGTGAACTGAGTGCGCACTGGTGCGCACTAACTTTTGCCCAATCGAAAACGCTATTAGACACCTTTTCGCTTTGTCGCAAAGACGACTTAAAAAAGACCTGTTTTCGTTATCTTTTAGTATTTTGTGCTGTCTGGATACTTCGTCATTTTTTGCTATATTTAACAAAAAGAGACAGAAATTTGCCATGCCTAAATAGACAGTTCTTACTGATACATGTGTACTTATATATACAATATTAGGATATTGTATGTATATACGTACATATTATAATGTGTGACTATACAGATAAAAATTATTTACACATAGGTGTTCGTGCAGATATTCTCCATGTCTGTTTACATACGCAGCCAATATTTGAACTTTATATGTATTACAATGGGTGCATTGGTCTATAATTTTAGATCTAACGGAATATGTCAATCAGATGCAAGAGCTCACTGAGCGCTCAGTGAGCGGTCTCAGTGAGCTTCTGGATGCACCTAATAGCCGTATCACACTAGCGACTCGCGGCTGCGACTGCGATTGCGACTGCGATTGCGACTTTTCCTCGACCAATCAGGAAGCAGCGACCAGCGACGGCGACTCGCGACTACTATTTGGTTGGCCGTTCATTTTTCCGAATCGCAATCGCAGTCGCAACCAATTATATGGCGTCTGTATTGTCACGTGATGCTTGTAAATGGTTTGAAACTGAAGCAGATACACGTAGTAAATATACACAATGTCAAAACAATTTAATAAAGAGCTAGATTACCGCTTAATTGACTTTGTGGAATCCAAACCCCTTCTTTGGGATTGCACGAGTGATATTTACAAACGAAGTGACTTAAAACATGATTGAAATATAGCCAATCGCAGTCGCAGTCGCAATCGCAGTCGCAAGTCGCTAGTGTGATACGGCTATAATGTGTGTGCACGTATACACATTAATTAAGTATTCAGTTTAATTCTAACATATAACTATATAACTGTATAAGAAGATATATTAGTGAATATGTACAATTACATTTTATGTGTATTATAATGTATAAATACATACACAAAAAGTATTATTCTAGAATTGCATATGTATCACTTATGCATTTATATGCAATAATAGAATAATATTTTGTGTACACTGATCTATGTGTGTATATGTGCACACATTATTATATAAAATGTAACTGTACTTCATATTTACTAATGTCTGTTTATGTAATAATAAAATTAAACTGTATGTATACATACACACACATTATACGATACACATAAAATTCTAATATTATGTATAAATAGATATACAGAATATCTGCATAAATATTTCAGCATGTGTAATGTCTATGTCTAATGTACGTATATTCACATAATTACGATAAAGATGCATTATTCTAATGTTGTACATAAGAATACATCAGTAATATTATATTTGTATTCATCAAGGAGCAGCTATAAATATACGTGCTATGTATACATGTATCTATTGACACATTGT